AAGTTTCCTAGTGATACGTTTCATAATGATCATCTACAAGCACTGAGAAGATCAACTAGCCTTTCAGCCTGGTTCGCTCTAATTAGGGTAGTAATCAAGGCGAGTGAGACTGAAATTCAATTGGCTTCTCCAGAACATTTAAATGCACTTCAGATACCGCTTCCATCAGGATTTTCACTTGCGAGAGTCATGTTTTTTGCAGTCATGGAACAAAATCAATTAAGATATTCCACAATGCTTGAGAAAATCAACTGTTGTGCTTTTGAAAATAAGTTCTCTGCAGAGATTAACTTTTCTTCGCATTTTTGAGGATATAAACAGCTCATTCAGCGCAATTTGTTCAGTTGTTATTACAGTTGGAATAATTTGTTCAGATCACAGATGAATGGCGTTTAATGTCGCTTGTAATCGATCGGATATGCTTGATAATCTCCTTTGTGCTGAATGTGGTTGCAATACTGTCGTTCTTTCTACAAGCACAATCCCTGTTCGATACACGCGAACCACTGCAACGAACCATTGCACAGAAACCGTTGAGCGGCGGTTCGATAAATATGTTTGCGAATTGAAAATAAAATAATTCAACGCAATCTTTGTGCGCTTCTTTGTTGATTTATTCTGCATATATCGTTGAATTTCTTTAAATGACTCCTTCCTCATCTCAAAGGACAAATCTCCATTTATCTCATTACAAAAAATATCGGAAGCTTTAATCATCTACTACTCCCAATAGATTCCTCAAACTTGAATCGATAATAACACTTGCTTTTGTAAATATAAGGAAGATACGTTTGCTAGGTTTCTCAATTGTAAAGATATACAGTGTCTCGATATTACATCCCTTGGGAACTACTGAAATCATTATTTTATCAGCACACATTACTATATCAATTAAAACTGTCTTGTGTGACATTACTTCCTTAAAAGCTCTAGGAAGGCTCGAAATTTCATGTAATGGGCAATATCCAATCTTCTCCTTTAACAACTCAAGTCGGGCGGTCATCTGTCAGTA